ATTATTCATTTTTACTAATTGGTAATTAAAAATTGAATCAAAAATTAAATTTCTTCAATAATGGACTCTTCATCTGGATCATCATCAGACGATTCAGTGTCATCACAATTATTGTTAACAATAGTCGCAGAAGTGGATGGAATATCTTTGTAATAGTGCTCATATTCTGGTGGTATAACCCCATCATTTAAAAGTGTTATCAGATCTTTCTTTTTAGTTTCCGACACTGGAATCAGTGATTTATATGCTCCTTTCAGAGGTTTCTTTAGTTTGCTTATACATATGTCTTTATTTTTTTTCATTGTTTTTGTCTTACAAATGTCTATTTCTTTGAAATCTGGATCGGTCAAATCGTATTTGTAAAAAATTGAAGTGGGGGATTTTTTCTGCAGCCGCAGCCACTTAATTTTCAGCCACTGTACTTGCTCATTTTTTGTATTTTTTGTTGTATTGCAATTCAAAGTTTTTTCGAATCCCTTCAAATCATAGAATTCCCCGTGTTTCATAATAACAACATCGTAGGGTTTCGGCTTGATTCTAGCCGACCCTATCACCAATGCATATTCACGCAAAGTGAATATGCTTTTATGCTTTCGCGCTCTTTCAATACACGCGTGAATTGAATCCACTTCTAAATACGAATGCCCCGATTCCATGAATTTCAAATCGATTGTATCTAAGTGATGTATGTTATTGACAGCGTATAAAGCGGCTAGAGTAACATATTTATTGCGGTTCTGACCACCACAAGTGTCAGAAAATGATGCGACATGAGTAACAGTTTCGGGTAAACTACTAAGATATTTTAACAATATCGATCCGATTTCAGTAGAACCTTTTTTGCCATTACACTCGTCCCATAAATAACAGTAGCCAGTGTTATCATAACAATCTAGGATAGTAAAATTGTACATCGATAATTTACGTAAATAATAGATTTTGCAGTCTCCAGTAAAAGGTACCGATAGGATAGCTTGAAGGTCAAATGTTATAGCCCGGAACTTGTACACTTGTACAATTCGGACTATATCTCAAAACGGTTTAATGTATTTATGCATTTAAAAAATTGCCAAGCCCCTTCCAATAAAAGTACTTAGCACACTTGTGCATCAAACTTTCTTGATCCTTTTGTACTAACAACACATAATTCACTCTTGTAGCACTGCTAAAAAGTATGAGCAGATATTGCAAATGTATATAATACGTTTGTGTTTTGAAATTTCCTACAGTTGAGAAACTTAAAATCAGTTAAAGTATATCTTGATTGGTTTTACAAAAATAAAGATCATTAGTATAATACCACATATAAGAAACATTAGACGAGGTCATTTAATACAACTGTGACCCACGTTTTTGGTAGAAAGAGACGGAATAACGGTGTTTCGATGCGCGGAAACGAAAGAGCATGAAATTTAGTGTATTTGGCATTAAAAAAGTAAAAATTGAAAATTTTGTAGTTAGTGCAATTGTGAACTAAGGCATCGATATCACGTTTAATCTAATTATATAGGGTTTTAGCGAAACTAGAGATGTAGTCTAGATAATCATATAAAGGTATCTAGCCAAATCTTATTATAGGTACACAGATTATACACAGAACCAACCTCTTACACGCATATACATGTAACCGAATTAATTCTAACATAAGTTTAGATGGTATATTAATATTATATATTCAATTAAACTTTAACTTAATAGCCTAACTCGAGTTTAGATTTCATAACTGCAAATTGTTATTATTATTATTACTTATACATGTAACAGTGCTACGCCATATTACGTATGTCTGTGTGCCAGTGATAAACTCCAAAACTACTAAATGCATTTTAATACGGTTTTCAAGTGGTTGAGCGATTTAAAGGGAAGGATTAGTTTGTAATTTATTACGGTTCCAAATATATGTGAACCGAATGACGTCAGGCTTTGTCGCTATTAGGTTGGTAATGATAACACCATAACTATATCCACTTCAAGTCTCAAGTTTGAAAGCCTAATATACATTTCCAATACCACTTAAAATTGGCATAATCCCGCCACAACTTCCCAAAACCGCTTCCCGCAATGAAGTGAATCAGAAGATATTATAAGAGGAGAAGGAGAAAAAAACGATGGTTTCCACTTCCCTCGGTGAATTACTACAGGAGACAGAATGAATTGAGCCTAAAGGCACAAAGGCCCAGTCGCCAAGCACCGCGAAAATTTGAGTAAAAACTAAGTGGGTCCTATGTGTGAGCTGTAATTAAAAAAATCAATATATAGAATTATTATATCATAACATCACGCCTTTTATCATAGAGGTATACATTATGCCACTGTACAATGTAATAGGGGGTGAGCCTATTGCCATATACCGGGCACAATTCCAGACCCCGTGCTTCTACTGAGATTTTTTGAAAAAACCTTGTAATACTTTGCCCGACCCGGGAATCGAACCCGAGACCCCTTGCCCGGCAGTCGCACTTACGACCACTCGGCCAACGAGACAGTTCTATTATTGTACTGCATATTTATAAACACATGGAAAATTAAATGCCTCCATAACAACGAGAGGCAGAACTAAAAGTTAGGAACACTCCATGGTTTGGCTAGTTTTTGCTTTGCTTCAATACTTTTGCGAACACAATTTAAATTCCCAGTGTAGTTGGCAATGTACTGCCTTTCTATTGTATGTATATATAAAAGTTATTCTGATGTACAACTTGCTGTATATATTTGGAACTTGTCGGCCGCAAGCCAATTTGTATTGAGCTAGGTCAGGTATATTCATTTTGTTTTAAAATAGGCAGTTAATTTTATTGTGTTTTTCGTTAAGAGTCATTTTGCATGGACAGGTCACACGATTGATATAAAATGGTTGCATATAATCATTTTCTAGAACAATACTTTAATTAAATATAAGTTGTTTTAAAACTTATCCTATAAATTGGAATATCAATTACATAAATTGCAATTAGTCGGCTTAATAGTCGCAAGGTAGACGTACAAGTACCTAAGTGTAAGAGTCTGACACTCCCTCTCGCCTCACCCGGGTGGGAGAAGTCATTGGATGATTTTTGTATGTGAGTAATTGAGGACTATGCGTGCTACTAAACGTTATTCTATGAATAGGAAAATCAAAATCAAAATCATTAAGTTACTACGTATAACTTAGAATACCTACCTAAAACTAGCTTCATAATAATCTAAAGAAAAATCAACCTTAAAATAATGTAACAAAAACCAATAGACATTTTCGGGCAACGATCTTCATTTACCTTAACACAAACTCGAAAACGACCCATTGTGGGTTCTCAATAAGAAATCACGGAAGATATCCTTGTATAACGAGGAAACGATCATAATATTCCAAGTTCCCCGTTCCCTGTTCCCAGTGTCCTATTCCACGTTCCCTGTTCCCGTTGTTCCTGTGTAGACGAAGGTGTGAACACAATAGCGCAATCAACACGAGCGGAAATATTTCTGATAATAATGAACGGTCTAACTAGCCACACAGCCTGACAAAGGGAATAACTTCCCCGTTATATATTTCTATTCAAAGTATTAACTATCTAACGCGTTCGGAACTGTTCAACTTTAATACGTAGCCATTTTATTATGAAACATTGTTGAAATGTTTTCGTTTAACTGATTTATTTGTTGTTGCGTTGTTTTTGTATCGAAATATTTATTTGAATGTCTGTAGAGTTAGATGTGGTATTAAACACGTAACATAACATCACGCCTTTTATCCCCGAAGGGGTAAGCAGAGGTGCACATAGAAATAACACCCACTTTTCACTATTTATGTTATGAGTTCCATGTAATAGGAGGTGTAACTATTGCCATATACCGGGCACAATTCCAGACTCCGTGCTACTACTGAGATTTTTTTTTAAACCCAGTAATACTTTGCTCGACCCGGGAATCGAACCTGAGATACCTTGCCCGGCAGTCGCACTTGCGACCACTCGGCCAACGAGGCAGCCATGTGGTATTAAAGTACCTCAAATGAAATGAAGCTTTCTGCAACCTAAAGTAGTTCTAATGTTATTTCTAACCCTTTACTAAAAGCCAAATATCATTTCAGAAAACGTTTCCATGCCATCTAATCCAGCTCATTCATAATGCAGACTTTTTTACCTAAAAATAGACTATGTATTAGTATACAGAACGTTCGAACAATATGAATAGAATATATTCTCCTGTGTACACCAATATATTTGTCATCCCACGCAAGACGAAGAGTAAATCCAAGGAAATAGGTCAATGCGTCGTGGAGAGGTTAGAAGCCACAATGTCTGTTGGACCGGGTGTTTATACCACTCGAGCACTGTTGCAAGTGAACATAATGTTTACATACCTGACACTGAGATAATACAACAACAACTACTGACAAGTACGCCTATAATAATTTGTCAACAAATAAAAATAAACAGTACGTAGTAAACGCCAATATCGATCGATCCCTCGATAAGCTGATGACACATCTAATTTATATTAATGATACACGTTGACATTGATATTCCAGATATCTAAATTCTGATAAAAATTCATAATGTGACTGAAATTTTCCGTCCTTCTAAACATATTGTACAGCGCTGTGCTAATTACACATATTTACCCGTTTGTCAATTAGCTGTGCCATATGCGGCCAAGTTCCGTTGATAAGGGTCTAGTGCCCTTGCTTACTTATCTACCACCTACATGAATGTTACTAGACACACTCGCAAGGCTATACTCGAAGAACTCGCCGTATCGTAAGCCACGAACTTGATTTGCATGATTATCGTTCTGTTTGCAAAATACGTCCCACACGTTGTCGTATTTATGGGATGATTTATTTCAGCCGTTATATTATTAAGTCTAGTGATCTGCTTTCATGCAGTTGATAAATAACATTTACTTGTAAATTATAACACCACCTAGTTACCGGCCGTAAAACTGGTAACTGGTAATATATCATATCATGCAACCAAACATAATATTCTCGTACAAGGTAGTAAATATGTTTTTATTTCCAGGACCGAGCGGACGGAGGACACCGTATCCAGCAGTGGCAATCTCACCAACAACGCAGTGCGACATAAAATAGTAGTACTAGGAGCTGCGAAAGTCGGCAAGTCCTCACTCATATCACAGTTTCTATACAACACGTTCTCGCCAAAGTACAAGCGAACCATAGAGGAAATGCATCACGGGGACTTTAACGTGTCCGGCGTGAGACTAACGCTCGACATACTAGACACGTCAGGGGCTTATGAGTTCCCTGCAATGAGGACATTGTCTATGCAGTCAGCTGATGCGTTCATTCTCGTCTACGATATCACAGACGCCAACAGCTTCACAGAAGTGAGGACTTTGAGAGATCAAATTCATGAAACTAAAGACAGCACGGCCGTCCCTATTGTCGTAGTCGGCAATAAAGTGGACCTGGCGGAAACTGGCGCGAGACAGGTAAGCGATTCACTTCTATGTCAAAGAGATCAATCGCAATATCTTGAATTGAGGTTTCTTTCTGCTTCACATCATATTGTCAATAGGCGTCTTTTTTATGAACAATCTCAAATGGTCGTCTGTAATTTTAGGTACCCTTTCTTCGCATCATATCCTTTGTTTCTTGTTCAATATTTGCTAGGTATGTTTGTTATCTGTGTGTACAGTGTACAGCTACACAATTTAGTGTGATGAAGGTTGGATAACAAAGTAACGGGTGAAGCGGACCAAGCGAGTGTCACGTATCACATAACCCGGAGGGATATGTTCAAATATTCAAAGAAATCTATCGGTTGTAAGCTGTACAGAATCTTCTCGTATCGACAAATAAAGCATTTGGTGGATAAAAGCTTGCCTTATCGAGATTTGTTACGATATCAGTTTATAAACAAGTCTCGCAATATATAACCTGTAATTGAAAAACGTGTGTCATCTCATAACATATCCGAGTGCAAATAAAATATATGTACCAAGTTCTATCGTCACAAATCTCTTAAAACGATCTCGAGAATTTGACTGCGCATTTACTATGAAGTCGTTTCTAACGTGTTGTGAGGAAAATTGAATTTCCGCGATGTCAGAAGTTGCAATATGTGAGCGAAAGGTCGCAGGGAAACCTAACAACCGAGGTACTTAGATACTCCCCGGATGTCGCGAGCTCAAATGAAATGTTGCTCTCGAAATGATGCAGGAGGCTTTATTAAGACTAGCATTTGCAGACACAAGTCCTTAGATCTAAAAGAAACTACTTTTCCTGAGATTTATCATTCAAATAGTATTTCTTAAACGAGAACGAAGAGAATGTAAACATTGACATAAATGAAATTGTGTTTTAATATCAGACAGTCATAAAATACAACTTTAGCACAAAGTGTACTGCGGAGTATACACACGCATACACACACACACATACACATGTAATATAAACTATTGCGGAAGCTGAACATTAAGTAACAAACAATGTGTTTATGTTTCAAACAAAGGATTTATATTGTTTACGAAGTGATTAAGCTAACGTGAATCATGCAGTTTGTCACAACTAGCGCTGCCATGCGGTATCTAACATAATATAGCATATACACATAATATCATTGAGATATTTATTTAATAATTACCCCCCCCCCAACCATCTCAAATTCCTAATCCTCAAAAGGCCAGTAACGCATTTATGTATAACGCCACTGGTGTTCCAGGGGTCCATGAGCGACGTCGACTGATACGTCTAATCATTTATCGGCCTGTATAACCAATAAAAAAATGTAACACTGGCGGTATGAAGGAGTAACTACGATTACTACTAAAAATCTAAAGATCAAAATTAATCATGTGATCGCAAAACCAAAGACGACGAAAGCTTTGCAAGATTTTCCAAAATGTTTGAAGTCAAAGTCAAAGTCGAAATCATTTATTTCAATTAGACCAGGAAGGCACTTTTGAACGTCAGTAATAGAAATTTAAAAGTGAAGCTATTTGCTTGAATTTTAGAAACTCTTAAATAAAAATTCTCAATTATTTTTTCATCACAGTGAAGCGGAAAACACGTTACCTAAAGATATCCTTAACGGAAATTAAAATTTGGGAAAATACGAAAATAAAAAATGAATTGGTAGGTAGGTAGAAAAATAAGGAAGCTGTGCCGGTTTTCGTTGTTTAATTTTAATTATTTAATCATCATTGTTTGTTTTATATTGACAGTCTATCAGTCTGTTTTCTCTATAGCTGATTTCATTAATTTAGCTTCTTAGTAGAAGATTTTAATTCCCAATATTTTGTAATACGATACAAGCACATAGATGTAATTGTACTTTTCCAATTTCATACTTCATGTGGTTTATTAATATGAGTTTGACATACTTACGCATATACTATACACACTCTTTCGTTAATTAATTTTCGCAAACAGAATGTAAACTGCCTAAATTTATCGTACAAAATATACACGAAAACATATAGTATTATTTAATATCTGCACCCTTTTGTCTTATTAGACAAAGCAATAAGAAATAGTCCCGTAACATCGACTACGATCTACAAAGCACAGCTCTGTCTCCGGAACACAAAAAGCTTAGCAAAAGTATTTCCCTTCAGCGCGAGAAAACAATGCTTCTCGCGATACAATGCCAATTAAAAAATTAAACAGTTCGCGCAGAACCCCAACATTTTATTGAACTAGCAATTTATTTTCTCTTTCTTCAAAGAAATTGATTCTTTGTCATTATACCTAGTTCACACAAAGAGTTTTCTTTTATTTGCATTAAACTATGAAAATGCATCGGCTTTGTTGGCATTATAATGTTTTCCTACCTTCAAAACCAAGTTACTTTTTGGTAATTTAATGTAATTCATAAATTAACTGACGTCCTAAGACTGTTTTATTTCCAAACTGGCCCCAAATTGTACCTAATACCTAGGTGTAAAAAATCAGTTTCCATTTTTAAAATAGTCATAGTAAACGGCAATGAAATAACGTCATCATCTATACATAGTTAGTAGACACACTAGTAGTAGACTAGTCCAATTTTGATAAATTGGCCTAGTTTAAATTGCTGATGAAATTGTTTTTAGTTGATTCAAATAACAATTATATCAAAATGAAAATACAAAGCAATTAAACTGGAATAGAGAGATTCAACTAGAATTCAGTAATCCAATACAAAATTTACACGCAATGTGTGAAACAGAAGTTAATTTAATTTGATGAAACTCGACTGGAGTGCTTATTGTCAGGCAAGCTGTACAATTTACAGGCTATCTAGAACTTTCCTAGGGAACACGTATTGTATAGCCAACCTATTTAGTAGCTCTATTTGGCACATGTTCTAGGAATTTTCATGAACCATTTTACATAGCTAGTTTTGTACCGTCGGACTGTAAACTACTTAATTCACATTGTCTGTTTGGACTTGTTTCGTAAACTGTCTATTTGTTCGCTTAGAATTATTTAATTAAATATTTCGTTGTAGTGAATTACACTGTAAATGGGTGTATATGAATGTGTATACAGTAGCTAATGTTATTATAACTACTCTAATTAGCGACAGTCGCATTTATTTTTTCTGTATTTGAAAAGAAAGTTACTACAAAACTTATTAAAGCTAAAATATCAATGTCAGGTTTGGTCAATGGAGCTATATTTACAGAAAGAAGTACCCAGGTGAAATCTTTAAAATGATTCCGTAATTATTGCAACTAAAACGAACAGTTTTAATGAAAAACAACATTTTTTAAGAACTTTATCGATAATGCAAAACACAGCCTGAAACTGGAACGAAATCGGCTTAATTTAATTTGGTATCAGAGAATTTCGAAACTGTGTTCACAGAGGTTACCTTGGAACTCGCGGAGAGTATTAAATGCTTTGTCGGCAGCATGTATATTTCATAAGCCACGTGACGAAGTTAGTTTGTCCTCCCGGAACACGTCTCGCAGTTGCCGCGATAGCTGTGTGCGGAACAGTGCGCACAATAGCCCCAGGCCTCCGCTGACTCGCCAATATCCGCGCCGCACCGCGCCGCCTTCACTTCGCACTACCATAACCTTGTTTTTATTGAACACAAGAACAGACGCTCTAATGGAGATTCGTAGTCGACTGACTTTTCGCTTTTATTGACGATTATACCCATAACTCTTCCAGTTGCTTCGTTATTTTAACTCTGCAGATACTAGAACACCGTCGCATTGTGACCGTCTTCAACTTCAGATTTTAAAACTGAAACATAAGGAGTTTTAACGAGTTTGACTTTTCGGTGAAATATTCGCAAGTCGGATTAAAGCCGGTTGTGCCAAACCGTGAGTTGGGTGTGCCTCGTATAGTTTCAGCGCACATATTTGGAGAATACTTTAAACTTAAGTCATAAAACAAAACTTGGCGTAATAAATCTGTACGAAACTCATTTGGGTTAACTGAAACAGAAGTCGATATCCGACTAAGATATGCTAATTACTGACGAGTTTATTCGTAAAACTTGAATCACGGAAAATGCTTTCTAAACATTTGCGTGGCTTCCAAGAAGTTTGTAACGAGTTTTTCATTCATATAATGCAAAGGCAAAAATACCAACAAGCTTTAAAATCGTTGCTCTTATTGGATTTTCTCCTATATAATATATACTTAGTTACAAATGCTTACTTTTAATTCAATTCATCTAAATATAGCTAAGAATTAGAAACGGACGACATTTTCGCTGATTCGCATTTACTCAAATTAAAGGCAAAAAAGCTTCGTGAAATGGTGACGCAGCAATATGGCGTCTTCGATATTTGCAACATAGCAAAATTCTTTTGAAGGGTTCTAGATTAAATTATTTGCCGACTATTACAAAAAGTTTTTATGTCATGGCAAAAAACTATCTACCTATACTTACTGTTTTATTGAAAGTTTCATAAAGTTTAGACGATATATAAAAAATAGGTTCACAGTAAAACTCCTGATCCTGAGTATGAATTAAATGCTTATCATTTAACCTAAACTTATATGCAATTGTATTACAAAGTGTGATTTCTTTCACAGGTAGAATTTCACACAACAGAATCGGTGGTAACTGTGGACTGGGAGAATGGATTCGTTGAAGCTTCGGCGAAGGATAACGTAAATGTGTCGCAGATCTTCAAGGAGTTACTGGTACAAGCCAAGGTGAAGTACAACCTGTCTCCCGCGCTGCGTCGGCGGCGGCGGCAGTCGCTGCCCACTGGACCCCAGGGACCCCCAGGGTCAAGCCCCACCCCACCTGCGCATGCGCCCCACGTGCCGTCACCCGCTCAGCTCGCACACCTGCAACAAATCCGCGAGCGACACAACAGTAAACGTAACTCTTGCGTCATCTCTTAGACAAGACGCACGCGCCGATCTTTTCAGTGTTAGTTAAGGATCTCGGGTAACTTTCGAATTTTCTATACGTACCGATAAAGCTATTTATAACTCTAATTAAAGTGGACTTTGTATTTGCTCTTAAGTCCGTACATAAAAAGGGCATTTTTAATCATTGCACTGGAGAAATTGATCTTGCTATATATAAAGGGTCAAACTGTGTAAATGCGATCCCTCGCAAATCTTTGTTTCTTCGACTTATCTAGATAACGTGTCATTAGTAAAGGGATCTTTCTGAATGGCCTGTAGTGGAGATATATTTAGCAGAAATAAATCAAATACGACAGCGAATAAAAAGAAATAGAAAACCGTTACATTGTGCCAACAAAACAATTATTATTTACGGTCTGACGTTTTTGGGTGTAGAGTGAGTTAGATCAGTGATATACCGCAAATTTATTCATGCCAGCCTTCTTGTAGTGATTGGGGATGCTAGTTTTAGGCACGGACCGCAAGAGTACTTTGTATTAGATGTTCATGAAAATTCTCTGTCGTCGCTGTTTTCTTCAATCTTTTACATAATAGCCCCGATTAATCAACTAATTTAAGTGTAATGACACTTGCAAAAATAATTAATCATATTAAAATAAATAACTCAATTTATCTTTTATCCACCACAAATGTATAATAGGTACTTCCAATATATGGTTGATGAAATAATTTGCACGAGCAGACGTCATCTGTCTCGCCCCGCCCAGTTCATCGTTCCACAAATTTACGATTATGTTAGGCAATAAACACGTTTCTTAAGTGATATACTTAGACCCATTAAGATTTGTCCATTCCTTCGTGATGTTTCTACTTTATATGTGTAACTAGATAAGTAGTGGAAATAACGCCAACACACAGACAAACTTTTAAACTTAAGGTTCTAGTGTAACAGAGTGACAATGTAGACAAAGTGATAATGTAGAAGTGACGGGTATTCGTGACTGGTTTATATTCTAGGATTATAGTATATTCTAACTAATAGGTAAGGTAAGACTTGGGAGGAAGGAGACACGACACGACTGAGTTCCACGATATCAAAACAAGCAGGAGATAATAAGTCGGTATCGGATCTGTCCAAGGCAATCCTCGTCAGAGACACGCCTATGTGAGTACGATGATCTCGTTACATAAATTACTTCGGAAAGAATAATGACCTAACGAGGGTGTGTTACAACCCCAAATGAGGTAACAACGGCTATCCGATTACTTAATGTAACGGTAATAATGCTCTATATGTACGTAAACATTCCGTTTGCCAAACAGTATTAATGAATTTGTGGATCTTATATCAATATTGTAACTAATCGATAAAATAATAATTCATTCAATGTGTATTAGATTTAACAGACTCGTAAGTTGTCGTTGTTTGACTTGTTCTATTATCTGACTTCAGCTAAACATTATTGTAGGTAAGACTTTTATCATAACTTTAACATTAAGACGGAAGTTTCTCTCTCTATTCGTTCTGTAGTCTGAATGTAAGTACTTTTCATTTTCTGAACCAACATTAAAATAATTCGATGTGCAACTCTATTTTAATTCAGATAATTAGTTGCAGTCGTGAGGCTTATTGTGTATTTAAAATATATTGTATAGCTCAAAATAATCTACATATTTTTCAGATATATCGATTGTTTTAATATTCACAGTTCTATAACTCAGACTGTTTTGTTTCAAGATGAGAAACTTGTCTTCATTATTCATTGAACTTGAACGTATGTTATCATACTATAAGATTGTATTAAACTTGTGTATACTTAAGGTGAGATCAGGGTTGTCAATAAGTTGAGAATCTATTAAAACTTAAACTTAATACTCTAAGAATAGTTTGTCCAAATCCGACAAAAGGTAAAATTAATTCACTAAACCTGTTCCCCAGTAAAAGCTGCAACCCTAATCTCATCGGGACCTCCTGAGAGTAATAATTAATTACTTAGGTTACGGCAAATTTGATTACTGTATCATTTCAATGGTGCATTAGTTCTATGTTTTATCATTTGCAATTATGATTTACTTTCATCGTAAACATAATTAGGAACTGTTATTCTTACATTCTAATATTTCAAATTATATGGATGTGCCTTTTTTAAAATATTAGTCTTCTTAGTTGGTAGAACTCGTAGATTTTGTTGTTATGTCCAAATATCCAATTGTGCTTGAAAAGAGAAATGTGTTCGCTTCCTTCTATTGCGTTTCAAAAACATAATGTAGTTTTAATGTTAGTTTATTAGAAGAAAGGTAGATATAATCTATATTTATTATTAAATTTGAATAATAGACGATAGTTTTTCAGAAAATATGTGGTCTATCGGTGTTTGTACCTTGATGTACTTTTAGCAGAGGTCTGCGCACATATACTTGTGAAAGTTGATACATAGCAACATATTATGATCTAAGACATTTTTTATGGTCCTTTGTATAAATATAACGGAACTGTTCGTGAAACTTAGCACAGATGGATTTGACATGTGTAGTATGTGTATAGATGTTCATTTACCATTCAATTTAATAGTCACCTACTTATCTAATGTATTACTTTTAATGTTCATGTGTTTCAAATACAGGAATCAACTCCAACGTTTGTACCAATGTAATACAATTGTCTCTGAATAAAATAACTAACTTCTGAAACAGTGATTTTGTTCTCATAAACACTTACTTTTTACTTTCAAGAGAAAAACGGAAAAATACAACGACATTATTTCCCAGAACACTAAGAAAGACAGTTTAACTTTATAATTCGGTTTGTTAAAGGACAAAGTAAGACGATCGTGTCCAGAGCGCGTAACTAGAATACTTTCAAAGAAAAATAATTCGATTAATGGGCTTTTACTTTCGAGTGTCCTCTCGACAAACTCACAAAGAGTACAGTGAAGAGTGAGAAGACAAAGGATGGTAGGAAAGCTTAAGATTGTCAACGTGGAAATGCAACGGAAGCAGATCGTCGGGAGGATTGGGGCGCGGTGGCGGACGTCGGCTTCAGGTGAGTTCTGTACACAACTCGGTAACAGGGTACTGTGCTGCGGTACATTTAGTTATTAAGTCACAACTAAATGTGCTCTTAGGTGGTTTGTGCCGTGCAGTGCAGGCGCCGCACATGTGTCGGACGAGTGCGTGCGACGGGCGACGGCGTGTCGACGGCACGCAGCAGACGCCTCGCGACACTTGTTGCGCAGCGCGCGATCGATAGCCTCCCACCACCCGCCTCGCCCACCTGCCGCCTGCCCATACCTCCCTTACTCAACATAGACACTTTCCATTCACCGCCGAAACCATCCTCCTACCCTTTGTGACCAAACAATTCACGAAAAAGAAAAATCTAAGCCACATTTATAAATCAAAATTTCATACCGTTTCTCTTGTTAGTAATAAAAAATCTTATATTTTTTAATAACAGTGTTCCCAAAATATCGCCCGATTTTCAGATTCTGTTAAGTGGCATTGTCAGGTTTATAGTCTACATAAATCGTCCCCACTGGGAGGCAATTCCGGTCGAGGGGCTTTCACTCCGCACTAATGAATAAAAAAGAGGAATTATTGCATTCCTTAGGGAACTTTGATCGGAGTATTTAGAGATATCAACAGGTACTAAATTGCCTTTTCAAGATAACAATTTTATTTAACATTGTGTGACCTTCACCTTCACTTTGTCGATGGTATAATAGTACCTCCAAGGTATTGTGAAGCTTAATAAATATGGTATATCTCTACACACTATATGCATGTGTGTGTACGTACCTATAATTGAACATTAATCGCTTCATTATGAAACTCAGCACGAACCGCGGTTCGCTCGTAATATCTGAACACATGTGCTACAGCCGATTAGCGCGCAAATCCGTAGCAAGGCGTAGCCACGTAGCCGCGTAGCCGCGTAGCCACGTAGACCCGCGAACAATGCTTCCCTCATTCTGATATACTAAACGCACCTGTTCGATACAACACGGATAACAATCATCTGAAGCGTTGCAAAAGTTTTATTTAATTTCAAATGTAGGACTTTCGTATAAATCTGACATTTCACAATATTGCTGAGTATAACGCGCGTCTCCTCGTCGGAGACTCTTTTCATAAACTTGCATGCATAATAAACAACGCGCTTTGTGGTGAACTACAACGCCAGAGCTCTGCGTTCCGCTTGCTTTTACCATTTACAAAGGTAATTTATCTATGCGAAGAATGTTGTTCAATTGTCAAGTTAAATAACTTTGTTGATTGATTCTATAAACCCGTCACCTTCAAGACGTGCTTTCAGTCTTCAGAAAGCGTCTGTAAATTTGAGTATTTCAATTCAAACTGTTAATTGTATAAGGCTCATTCAAATCGCGTAATAACATTCGGCGTAAATTTCCTTTACGTCTTATACAAAAGGTTTCACAAAGGTCGTAAACATTGTTTACAGCGAATATTCGGTATTACAAATCAAAGGAAATTAACGAAACGTTCCAAAAAGTAATAAATATTAAGAGTTCTTCAGACGTTTCTCAAAGTTTTGTATCGGGAAACAAAGTTCAATATTGAACGGAACCGTGGTTTTATTTACTAGGTTTTTTAATTAAATGACCCTTGTCAGCGGGGTTCCGCGGAAAGTTTTCACTTAAGGATCGTCTGACACAGCACTAAAACGTCAGCACAGAGCCAGCCGACAATTAATGTCGCCATTAATTCTGATACTATGACGGTTATATCTTTTATTTAATAAAATACGCGTTAGAAATATTTTATGAGACAGATTAATCGTTCACACGGAATAGTCGACGAATAAACCTGTAGGCGGCTCTTTAAATACAGATAATAAAATGGGCCTGACCTGAAATTTTGCATTGTTTACTGACTAAAAGAAGCAAAATTCGTACAAATTTCTCCTCTACTTTCATCCAGAAATCTAATATCTGCAAGAAGGTTCAAATGAAATTACTATTTTAATATCAGGTAATAACGAATGAAACTCGGTTAAGGGACGTCAATTAAAATTTACTCACAATAATAATATTTTATTTGCACACATATGTATTATGCCCGACACGGGAATCGAACCTAATACCCTTTGCTCGGCAGTCGCACTTGCGACCACTCAGTCAACAAGGCAGTCAGGCAGGCAGTTAAAAAAATGTGGAGTGTACAAATTGCTCAAAGATATCATCAACAAAAAAGTATTTCTTTTTAATTAATGGCCTTCTTATACCAGATTGTTTGAAACAGGTCGTTAAGTTTCACCCTCAAAGTCTTTTCAACAATGATACCAACTAACCTTTATTATTCTTTCCCTTTCAATTAATTTTATACCGTAAATGAAAGCAATAAGGCGCAACGTTTTTACCCACCCTACTTCTCACGTTTACAAGACAGTTAATTGCGTTTTTAATGTTCATCTAATTCACCTTTTAATGCATAAAAACTTAAATAAAAATAGAGCATTTTACTTTGAAGTTTTAATAATTATATTGTTGCCTCATCTCCTATTTTTATTAGCTACAAGAATTTTGTTTCTTCTGCAACCTTTATAAGTATTTATTTAAAACTATTTTAAACAATGATAATATTAAAAATTGGTCCTAAAATATGATGAATTGCTGCCGTTGGGGTAATTTTACTAAAACCGTATTGTTGGTTATATCTAACATTCACGTAAGGTAAGGTAAGATTTTTTCATACTCTCATTGACCGAAATAAACATCAGTCTGTTTTTTTTGTGTAATTACAACTTGGCAATATATTTTTTGTTTTGATTATTTATTTATTAATTACTCGTTGATAAATTAATAAAAGACGACTTAGGTTAGTACTTATTCAATGATTTACTTACTTGTATTTCGGAATCATATAGGGTCGTAATAGACTCTTTTTTGCTTCAATAATGTCACCTTCGTTCAGTCTATTCTAACGTGTCTGACGTTCGTCGACTAGAAATTGTGTCCTCATTTACATTTAGGTATAAGGCCAGCCTTCATTACACGTGGTTTTCGTCATCCAAGATGTTTACGGCTGGCTGTATGTCATAATTTAACTAGGAACCGTCATAAATGTCTGAATACGTGCGGTTTATGATTTCGTGTTCCTTTTACGGTGTACCAAATGAATATACAACTTCACACCTCACCAATAGTCGGCTTGGGACAGTAAGGACTGACTCTTTATAAATGTCACATTTGTTTCAATATTATAATACCAAATACGAACATGAAAATGCCTATAAGAAGCTGAAATTATGTTCCTTATGCGTCCTTTGTTTATCAAGTTCTATTAAACAATGTGCAAACACAATTAGGTAAGTACTAGCTTCTGCCCGCGACTTCGTACGCGTAATCCCGTTTTTTCCCTTTCCCGTAGGATTTACAGGATTTTTTTCTGTCATAAGAACTTTCTCCTGACTATAACAAACAAAACAAAAAAAATCATCGAATTCGACCGTTCTCAAGTTATGGCGTGACAACGGGAAACGGGTTTCATTTTTATATACATACAAGCTTCTGCCCGCGACTTCGTACGCGCAATCCCGTTTCTCCCATTCCCGTAAGATTTTCAGCACTTTTTTCTGTCATTAGAACCTTCTCCTGACGATAACAAACACAACAAAAAAAAATCAGCCAAATCGGTCTAGCCGTTCTCAAGTTATGGCGTGACAACGGGAAACGGGTTTAATTTTTATATATAGGTATACCTAGATATAGATAATCGCATAATCTAATATTGCATACATACCCGAAATTTTTAAATTACGTTCATAATAATGTCAAGATGTTTCAATCGACCTATTTTTCAATTTCTTCTTTATGCGTCCCTTTTATTTTCCCCCAGTATTTTATTTCATCTCATTTTAAAAGAAGCTTAACAACGGTTGTTGACAACTGATCGCTCAACTTGTCACTGGTAACCGAAGACTTAAAACCCTCCACTTAGTCGTCCCCTGCCCTAATATTAAATTCTGATAGGAGATATTGTCTGATCACTTCGCCTCCAACGATAGTATCTTTTATCCTTTAGAATTCAAATATAAAAATAAATACTTTTCAGTTTTCCTTGTACCCCACTGTTTTGTAGCCAACAAAATCCCTTAGGTAATGGTAATATTTTATTCGAAGACACCGTAGCCTTATACCTCTACATTTCGTTCTAAATCTACACGAATAGTTATTGCGAACTTGAAACATGCATTATCTCGAATCGGAAACTCCCTAATCTACCTAGATATAAACTTGTTTCTCTCGATGTTCACCATTCTCGGGAACCCGTGCAATATTGAATGGTCAATTTGATTGGATATGCTCGGCGCAAAAACTGTGTAACTCAAAAAATCAAGCGCTCGTGTTTTCGTTCGTTTACAAAAACTTTTCCGCGCCAAGAGAGTTGTACAGAGATCAAACAATGTGCATTAGGTTCAATTTATTGCTTTTGTTCTCTGGTGTAGAAACGCAAGAATAAAATGTCAAAGCGTTTTTACACGATGTGATAATAGGCAATAGAAAGGCGGGATGTTCTTGCACTTAAATCTTACACAGATTAGCCATGCCGTGAAAATATTGCGAAGACAAATTCACGCGTTTAATCTTACGCATTCCCTTGCGTTCCAGCAATCAGATAATCTCAGATATGCCACAGCCTCCCACACGGTTCGGTTAGCAGACAGTAT